TACCACTTCGGTGTCATTGGCGGTCACGCCAACCGTCGTATCCACCCTCTTTTCACATGTGAGTCTCTCCCGAATCCCCTATTCACAATTGCGTCAGTTCGTCCCTTTGATGTCGCTTTCGCCGGATTTGTTTCGTCCCAGAATACGCAATGCAACCCCACCGCGATAGCTACAGCTCGATGACCATGTACGCAAGTGCAATTGACTGATCCTCCAATCTCACACAGTACCTCAATCGAAAAACCTCAAAGCAAGGGCCCAACTCCCACTTATCCTACGATGAAGGCCTGCACCTCGTCCGATCCTTTCTTGAATTCGCTTCCCACCACACGGTCGAGGAGCTCCAAGCCTTTACGGCCCAATGGGTCCCGCACCCGCAATGGGTCAAGGTAGAAGACGTCGAGATCCCCGAGAGCGAGCTCGAGAAGTCGGCCGGCCTGATCGAGGCTCAACTGGGCCCCCGAGGCGTACGGGCCGTGGGGGGTTGCAAGTGGTGGAAATGGCGGAAGCCGCAGAGCCCACTCAAGGCCGAGTGGATTGAGATGCGCGCCGACTACCACGAGCGCAAGAAGAACGGCGGTGCGACAAAGAGGGTGATGCTCTACGTCCACGGCGGCGCCTACTTTTTCGGCAGCGTCGACGAGCACCGCTACCAGATGCAGCGGCACGCCCGCAAGCTCAAGGCGAGGGTCCTCGCGCCCCGGTACCGCCTTGCGCCGCAGTTCCCCTTCCCCTGCGGCCTCCAGGACTGTCTCGCGGCCTACCTCTACCTCCTCACTGTCCAGGACCCTACCACGATCGTCCTGGCGGGCGACTCGGCCGGCGGCGGCATGGTGCTCTCGATGTTGTGTATCCTGCGAGACCGCGGTATCCCCTTGCCCGCGGGCGCCGTCCTTATCAGCCCTTGGGTCGACCTCACGCACTCGTTCCCCAGCGTCTCGGGGGATAACCAGATGGACTACATCCCCTCGTCAGGCTTCCACCACAAACCGTCCCGATCCTGGCCACCGCCGAACGAGGACGATATGGAGATGATGAGGGAGCAGGCCATCAAGGCGCGGGCGGGCAAGGAGAAGAGCGCCACGAAGCTCAACACGCTCGAGAAGAAGCAGGCGGCGCCCATCGCGCTGGGTGACGGCAACGAGACGCTAGGGGGCACCTCTGACTCTTCTGGTAATGCGGATCCCACAAAGACGGCCTTGCAGCTTTCCGTCACCATTGACGGGAAACTTACCACAGTCAAAGACCAAATCCAGGTAAGAGCCTTTCTTAGAGGAGCTTCCTCCTCCCACATTATATACTCATAGCCCTTTCCAGATGTACACGACCAACGCCTTACTCTCGCACCCAATGGTCAGCCCGGTAATGCAACCGACGCTAGGCGGCCTGCCCCCACTCCTCATCATGGTAGGCGGCGGCGAGGTCCTGCGCGACGAGCAAATCTACGTGGCCCACAAGTGCGCGAATCCCGCCAGGTACCCGCCGCCGGGCCTCGACGACGCGGGGCTGGCGCAGCTGAAGCAGTACAAGCCGACGGACGTGCAGCTCCAGGTCTGGGACGACCTCTGCCACGTCGCCCCGACGCTCAGCTTCACCCGCCCCGCCAAGCACATGTACCGCGCCGTCGCGCAGTTTGGCGCCTGGGCGCTGGCGAGGGCGCAGCAGACGGAGATTGAGATCTTGGACGACGACGACATTTCCATGATTTCCAGCTCCGCCTCGGATTCGGATAAAGAGGAGAACCAGACGGAGAATAACGCCGCGGGGTCGCCTCCGGAGCTGGTGGGCAAGGCGGGTATGCCGTTGCCCCCCTTCAAGAAGCACATGATCCGCCAAAAAATCTCCACGCGCGGCGTCGTCTCCGAGTTGGCCCCGGAATCAGAGCTGGACGGCTGCGTCATGAAGCCGGAGGAGGTCGGCGTCGTCAGGCCCACGCCCGTGAGGCGGTGGCTCGACACCAAAGCCACCTTTGATAAGAAGTTCTCCAGCACAAAGGCCAAAGTCCACAAGAGCATCATCAAGGACTTGGCGGATGGGTACATGGACTTCGGCGAGGGCGAGCAGCCGCCGCCCACGGCGCTCGCCGGTCGACGAAAGGCGTCGGACGAGCTGGTGGATAGGAAGAAGACCAAGAGTATTGGACTGGCGCTGTGGTCGCTCTGGGGCTCCAAGCACGACGAGACGACTACAAAAAGAGAAAAGAGGGCCGATTCTGATGCTGTTGCCGCCGGCAGGACGTCGCAGCAGACTCGGGAGTCGCAGACTTCGCCCAGGGGCGGCGAGGGAGCGAGGTCCTTTGAGGATATCGAGCACCAGGACCCGGCGCCTCTCGGCTCGCCTACGGGCAGTAGGCGGCGGTTTGTCCGGGACGAGCACCAGACGGAAGAAGAGGAGGAGACGCCGGCTTCCACTCAGGTGCAAGATTCCCAGACAACAGCAGCTACAGCAGTGGAAGAGACGACGCCGGTAGCGGCCCTCATCGAGAAGAGGAGAGAACAAGAGAAGCATAACGAGCAGGTCGCCGCCGCCGCTGACGGTGGGAATCACCTAAGCCCGGACTTCGTCCCCGGCGGTACCGGCGTCGCGGGCAAGCGCCCCTTCCTCGACGGCATCGCGCTACCTTTCAGTCTGGGCAAGAAGGACGCTGAGACGGCGAGTATGGTGACGCTCATGTCGGGCGCCGATAGCCGGCCGATCAGTCCCATGCCGCAGCTGAACCGGTCGGACACGGACGCGACTACTGACGGACTGATGGTCAATGGGAACGGGATTTCTGCTTCCGAGGCGAGTACCCAGGTTCCGGCAGAGAACGAGAGCACGAGGCCGCCGTTGGATACCTTCGTCACGGCGGCGGAGGATCTGCCTCTTGCGAAGGGGAAGGGGAAAGAGGTTGTTAGGGGAGGGTTGGAGCAGACTGCGTGAGATGTTTGCTGTATAAATAAGAACAAGTATATATAAGAAGTTTGAATCGTAGTGTGTGTACAATTCTTGATCGTCATGGTTCTCCTTTTGGGGGACTGTTCTCTGGCATCTGGGGTCTCAATCGTGAACCCTCATACTCCGCAAGACCCTGCTGAGAATGTTGTTGAATGTGATTCTCGGTTTTTTTTTATACATTTTGTTACAGCGTCGAGGGTATATACAGCTCTTGTACACTCTTGTTTTTGGGGGAGAAGTGTGTTTCTTTACCCCCCCCCCCCTTTGTTTTCGGATTTGTCGATCTCCCCGTCATCGAGCATCAATTCCCATACTTTTGCGTTGCTTCCCATCCCCTTTCTTATTTCTCTCTCATCCTCCCGCCATGCACGCCTTTCCCCCCCCTTAATCCACACCGTTCACCTGCTTCCAGTTCTCCAGGTAAAGCTTGGGGTCGCGGGGACCTTCTTTCGTGGGGTACGCTCCCCTCAGGGGCCGCACAGCCTCGGAGACGAACGGCGTGAGCTACACATACACACACACCACGTCAGCATTCAGCGACTCAACCGAGCATCATCCTCCTCCTCCTTCCTCCGCATTTCCGTGTGTCCGTGTTTCTCCTTACCTTGAAATCCTTCAAGCCCTCCGGCACGACGTACGTCCGCACCTTGTGCCACTCAATCACGTAGCCTCCGTACTTTGTGTGGCGACCCATGGCGCCCGTCCGGTTTCCCTTGTAGAAGCCCTTGTTGACGTCCTTGGTCGTCAGCTTCAGGTGCCTGTACTTGAGCACCTGGAGGACGGGTGAGGGTCTCATGATGGGCGGGTTTGGTTCGTCGGCTGCTCTTTCCCGAGCTCCGGGGGATTCGTGGGTGTGCGGTCGGGGTTGCGCTGAGGCTGGACTTGGGGGTTTTGTTTTTGGGTCAATTGACCTCTTCTCGTGTTTCGCTTGTTGCTTTCGTCGGTTGGTTTCTGTCGTTGATACGCCCTTGCCTTCGTTCGATGGGAGGCTCCGGGTTGGGTTGGGTGGTGCAACGGATAGCTTGGTAGAGACCCGAAATTTTGGCGATGCGCGATTGCGACGGATTAAGGGTTGGTCCATTGGCCGATGAAGATCCCTGTCGGGGTTTTTTTTGGGGGGGGCCGCTACCTATCCCTTGCTGTGGGGACAAGTGCGCTTCCGGGTGCACGGAGTCGGCTAGTTTTACAAGAAAGTCGGCGCCGGTGGGTGGGGCTTCTTTCCCGGAGACCTCCGGGACTGTTTACACGCCATCGGAAGGGAGGAATGTAAGTTACGAAGGGCAGAGCTACATTACTAAAGTCCAAAAACAATTGTGAAATTCGTCGCATTTCCATGCCTTATTTTGATGGTTCAGAGCACGGTTTCACATATCATTGAAACTGCGGGGCATCGACAAGCTTCATGCACGAAACATTTGAGCAAGATCCATTGGGTTCTTGAAGCTGTCTACCCAGACTGATTTGGGACTTCAAACTATCAGATCGAAATATAACCTACCCCCAAAGAATAAAATTCGTCTCAGCATCTAAACCCCATCCACTTGACCAGGGAAAGGCGCTTCTGCCATGCTTTTCGTACCTCAAAGGCCTGTGTCTCAAGACAACAAGGGGGTTGCAACTCATCCAAGACGGGATTTGAGGCTTCTTACATTCTATAATCATTTCCATCTTTGTAAATGCAAGGTGTCTTTGTTAAGAGGCTGGCTGTCCTGACATTCTCGATCCATTGCTCAAAGACCCCTGGCCTTCCTGGCTCCAACTCCCGGAAAGTAGTGGACGAATCTCCTATGAGCATTTACATTCACGAAATCGACGAGGCCTAACTTTGTATACTGTTATAACATCGACAATGCCCCATGTATCTTTTGTTCTCCAACATTCAATGCAGCCAGTCATCATCCAGCGACACCAAGATGGATATCAGTACTATATTTCGCCGTCGAGGAAGAGTGAGCACTCGGCCCATGCCTTCGGGATGGGTACTTAAGACTCCCACTGGACAAGTGGAGGTCCAGAATAACTCTTTACAAGCCGAGCTACCGTCCATCCTCCGCCAACTGCAGATGCATAAATTGCTTACTCCACGTCAAGGTGCCATGTCTACCGCAAAGCCGCAACCGCAGCCATCACAGCCATTCCAATCCGACCCTCAAGTCTTGGACTCCATCGATAGAGCTCAGTCAAAACTCGAAACACTGATGCGCTCATTCAGAGGAGGCGAGAGCTCTGCCGTCCGCAACGCCCCCGGCGTACAGGCAACCAACACCACGGAAGGCCGTCAGCAAGCAGAAACCCCGGGCAGAGTGAACGCCGAGACCGCAAAGCTTAGACACAGACATGACAGACTGGAGCTCGATTTCCTGCTATTTCAAAAGCGAATGGAAAAGCGCCAGCGTCAGCCCACCATCGCCAGAGAGTGGTGGAAGAGGGAGAGTGCTGCGAGGATCAACCTCGCCAACGAACTCGGTCGGCTTCGGGAAGAGCATGCAAGTCTTAAGGTCGAGCTTGAGGAGGCCAAAGCCGTTATCAAGAAATTCGAAGAGCAGGAGCCCCCATCTGAGGAGTTGTTCTAGACGGCGCCGAGCCCTCGGTCTGGCAAATAAAAATGGCAAAGCTGTACGCCAGTCTCATCAAGTTCAACATCGACATGGACAAGTCAGCGCACTACTACAACTTTCAATTTACTCTTCAGGAGCTCTTACCTTTGCTCCTTGAAGTCTTTCAAAGGGAAGGAGCATGCAGATCTTATGATCATCAACTTCGTTGACAAGGCCGAGTCAGGCAGGACTTACTGCCTCGATCATGAGCTTCTCTATGCCCAAGAACCCAATTTCGATTCCGACTACTGCCAGACATGCGCAAACAGTGATGGTCTTTCAGAGTGCTTGAACATCGAGTGTTATGAACGCTCTGAAGGTGACGGTAATGGTGTGGGCAAGTTTTTCCGTTTCCCTCGAAGTCGTCACTAGAAGATTGAGCACTGTTACCGGGACGTCGGCACTGGTGGGAAATCGGAGGCGGTGCTATGTGTTGTCTTTTTCAAGCGAGCATAAGAAATAAATGACTATGGTAGAACTCAAGAACATCGGGCGCGCATAGAAATAGATTTAAGAACCAAGTTTCTTTAGAAACTCCAGGGTCGCCGGGCATGGCCGAGACCCCTCCCCCCTTTTCCAATGAAAGATGCATATACGGTGACCACATGACTACATTAGCTTGTTATGGCCTGAAAAGTGAATCTCCACTGTAAATGCGGATTTCTCCATGAGCCAAGATCGTAAACCGAGTCTTGAACGTGACGAGCATCCATCAAACGCCTGCCTTGAGTGAGGAAAGGTCACGATATACTTGGTAGGTTTGGAGCCTGTCAAACCATAATCCATTCGAGCCAGTTCTAGTAGAGGCGTGCGCTTTTTCCACATATTCGCCTTTCCGCCAAGGCATTCGTGATTCTGCACTTGCGGACGAAGCAAGGTGCGGCACGGCATCAAAGTGGGGCCGGCCGATATCCGGGTCCTATTATCTATCTGCCGGGTTCTGGTGGGCCTTGTCTCCAACGCCGTCTTCCATCTTCAGTGGAATACTACTAATTCGACTACATCCTTGAATGATATGAGCATGATTCACAACTAATTGACTACCCGATTCTGGCAACACTGGATATTTCATTTTTCTACTAGATAGTCGAGAGACAGAAGAAAGCAGACCGGGGAAAATTCGGAACGGCAGTGCAATTTTGATGGAACGCTGCATCTCCACCTCATTCTATTCTCACGCTTGCCACTCTCATTCTCATCAACCAACTTTCTGATCTCATCACTGTAGACCGCTCAAACATTCAAGACGGATCATCAACCTCGCAGACAGATTCCCTGGCCTCATCCACGACACGATCTCACCGCCATTCACGACCCCGCCAAAAATGGTTCGTCACGACCCCCACGCCAACCACCCCGTCGGCCTCCTCGTCGAGCCAGACTCGGACGGCTACGTCGTCCGCCGCTTCCCACACGACCACACAGAACTCTACGGCGAGAACCCAACCGACCTAGAACTCCCGGGCTCCCACGGGCCCCTCAACCTCGTCCACGTACGCTGCCACAACGCCCTCACCGGGACCACCGTCGCCATCACCAACGTCAAGGTTCGAACCATCCAATTCGGAGATGACGACGACAAGCTCGTGGCGGCGCTCTCTCACCACACCGACTCCCTCGTCATCGCCGTCCACGGCGTCTGCCCGCCCCAAAACAGTCCCGATGAACCACCCACCAAATCCGCCGTCGGCGTCCACCTCGGCCCCGGCAACCCGCTCAACCGCGCCTGCCGCATCCCCGACGCCAAAGACCGGGGCCACGTCATGAAGGACACGGACGGCAGCGACGGCCGCGACCGCCCGCAGCACACGCAGCAGCGCGCGGACCTCTACGCCGCCATTGTGGGGTTGATGGAGGCGACGACGATTGCCACCAAGGGATTGCCCACCATGCGGTCGTCATCGCGGCGGCCACAACCATCCTTCAAGTTACACCACGTCGTCGTCAAGAGCGACTCGGCGTATCTCGTCGAGGGTGTCGCGGGCGGCAGGAACGGCGAGCCGCCGCACATGAAGAAGTGGCTCGCCAACGGGTGGAAGAACACAAAGGGCGAAAAGGTCAAGAACGAGGATCTGTGGGATAATCTGATGCTGACCATGATGTCACTGGGCCAGGCGGGCGTGGCGGTGGAGTTTTGGCAGGTGGCGAAGAAGGAGAATAAGGAAGCGGACCGGCTTGCAAAGGCCGCGCTCGAGCAAGACGTCAATTTCTTTGACGAGAAGAGTATTTTTGGTAAGGAGAAAGGTAAGGACGCTGATGCGGGCCGGCCGCAACCGGCCGGCGATGAGCTGGTTGCCATGGAATGATGATACAACTTGCAGGCTGATGGGACTACATTTGGAGGACTTGTGGCGCACGAAAAAGTGGTTTGGATTACCGGAAATCTACGGGAGCTGGATAGTAATATCATGTTAGATCGTACTAGAATTTTCAACGCCGGAGAGTCGTGGAATTGCTCCCGGCAAGCGGGAGGACCTCAATCACAGGCGTCTCGAATATCTCCCAGTTATCCGACGCCTTGGGGTTACCAAAGGCCTTCAAAGCCGCGATACGCCACCTAGGTCCGTGAGTGTTAGCGGACGTGGCCACATAGCAGGTATATAACCCAGGCGACAGATGACTCACTTGTACTTTCCAGGCTTAATCTGGCTTCCATCAGCCAGCTTGCCGAGCCACCACGACTCGTAGGGCGAATCGCGAGACTGGTCCTGCAGTGGGTACGAGAAGGTATTGTTCACGCTGTCGGTAGCCGGGTCGAAGACGGGATAGTTGACGCTGTTGTAGACGTCGAAGCTGGCGACGGAGCCGACGTACTTGTTCTGGCCGACGACGGGAGGGTATGCCCACTCACGCTCTTGATAGGTGGGTTCGTAGACCTGCAGAGAAGTCGGGCGTTAGTAGTCCTCGATGTTTTGAGAGGAGAAAGAATGTTTTGCTTACATCCCAGCGAACCTGGCGGGAGCCCCAGGTCAGAGCGACTTGGAGTCTGACAAAGTCTTGCTTGGCGAGGGAGAGGTCAAAGGTGAAGCTGTTGATCAGGTAAGTTTATTGTCTCCCTTCACTTGTATACTTGGAAACCGTACCTAGACTTCTCAGAGAGAAGGGTCCGGTTGACACCAGACGAGACACGGGGGTATCCGTAGGAAGTGTAGAACATGTCAGCAATGTCATGCTTGATGCTACCGCCGACACCTTTGAACCTTTTGTCAGTGAAAGCTTGGCGCAAAAGAGGGAAACCAATGCTCACCATAGTAGGGCACCGAGAGAACATCGCCGGCGCTCGATCCGATGAGAATCTTGCCGCTGAAGACGGGAAGTCTCGAAGCGTCGAGACCTTGAGGAATGTCGAAGGAGAACCTGAGTCTTTGTGTTAGCAGCCTGCCATCATCGCGGTTCCCATGGAGATCTCAACCCGCCTGAGACTCCTTCCGGCAGTGAACATAGATCAGAGAGAAAACTCACTTCGCAGTCTTGGTCTGCCCAGGCCCAACCTTGAACCCGCCCGCCGGCAAGCCAACAACAGCCCCAATCTTGATCGGCTCAATCTCTACAAGGTCCTTGATGCGCGGCACAGCCGAGATACCCGCATCAGCAGCCTCAGCAGTCCAATACGCCTCGAACCCGGCGGCATTCTGCACCGTGAATATATACTCGAGCTCCGTCGCACCAGTATTCGTGACATCGACTTGATGGTACCGCGAGAAATGATGCGTGTCGTTCAACGCAAACTTGGTCTCCCCGGACAACTGCGACGTGGCGTTCAACACGGAGACAGCGTCAATCAACCCGCTACCAACCTGGATCGGCGGCGCCCAGAACCCGAAATCTTTCGTCGTGCCGTCGGACCACGGGATCGCGCGGCCCGAGGCGACGATGCGCGCGTGCAGCGCTTTAGCAAAGTCCGCGCCGTGGACGGAGCGACCGCCACGCGCACCGATGTACAGCGCCGCGACGCCGGCGACGTACGGACAGGCCATGGACGTTCCCGACAGGTCGCGGTAGCGGTGGCCGATGAACGGAGCAAAGATGCGCCCGCCCGGCGCCGTGACGTCGGGCTTCAGCTCGAGGTCGAACGTGCCGCCCCACGAGGTGAACTGCGAGGGCTTCCCGCCGCCGGCGTTGTACATGGCGACATAGTTGCTGTTCTGGTCGAGCGAGAAGTCGGCCGTGACGCTGCCGCCGGCAATGACCGTCTTGACAATGGCCTCGCCCGCGTCCTTGGACAGTAGGCCCCATTTGCTCTGCGCCCAGCCGGAGCCCGAGAAGCCGACGACGGGCCGATCGGTGAGGTAGAAGAGCATGAAGCGCGCGCCGCGCTCCTGGACCCATCGCTGGCGGATGTAATCCTGGCACCCCTCGTCGAAGCGCACGAGCGGGATGGTGTTTGTGAAGTTGAGACCCTCGGGGAGGGGCGAGCAGGCGTCGTTCTCGACGCTGATGTTCAGCGTGACGGGGACGATGGGCCAGCCTTTGATCTCGGCGGGGAAGAGGTCTTCGGCGGGACGGTAGCCGAGGATGGTGCGATTCGACTGGCCGTCGAGAGTAAAGGTGCCGGCGAACTGGCGGGCCGAGACAACGGAGGCGTCAGCGGAGCCGATGGCAAGCACGTCTCTGCCGGCGGCGCCGCTGCTGGGGAAGAAGGGACCGACGTCGCCCGAGTTGCCGGCGGCGATGGTGACGACGACGCCCTGCTCGACGATGCGGGAGGCCACGAGGGCCCAGGCGTTGTCGGACCAGCCGCCGGTGGAGCCGACGGAGGCGGTGATGATGTCGACGCCGTCGTCGTAGGCGCGCAGGAAAGCTTCGATTAGAACTTCCTCGGCTGTGCCCTCCTGGGGTTGGTGTCAGTGAAGTCCGGGTGACAGGACTACCAGGCTTGGGCGACTTACATTAGGGCCGAAGACCTTGTAAGAGTAGATTGTGGCTTCAGGGGCAACTCCGGTGAACCTATTTACACGTTTAGCTAAGGCTTTCTTTCCCGGGCCAGGATAGTCTTGGACGCTGTCACATACTCGGAGCTCTTGCCGGCAATGATGCCAGCGACGTGTGTTCCGTGACCGGCCTGGTCCATGGGATCCTCATCAGGTTGACGCTCTGCTCCAGGATAAGGCCAGTTTGCTGCACAAGTTAGTTTCTGCCGTCAGCTCAACGTGTAGTAGTCATCACTCACTCTCGTCACCAACAAAGTCATACCCAGCAGCAACCTTACAACCCTCGCCAAAACACCCACCAAGCTTTTTTTTTCACATCTCGTCAGTTCATGGGATCTCTCACTTCGCCACACTCCACCAGGAAAACACAGAAAAGAAAGAAACTCACAGCTGGATGCGTATACTCCGTCCCCGTATCAACAACGCCAACCTTGACGCCCTTGCCAAAGATTCCCTGCTCATGGAGCTTATCTACGCCCGTCATCCAGTGGATGGAGTAATTGAGCGCCTGGGCATCGTCGCTGAACGACTCGCCGCTTACGACGGGCGCGAGCTGGATGCGCGTCGAGTGCCACGCCTTGACGACGGGCACGATCGCCTCGAGCGAGTCCGTGTTCTCGCTGTCCGACTCGACGGCGATGCCGTTGAAGAGGGACGAGTCAAAGACTTTGAGGATCTTGCTGCCCGGGTTGTTGGCCTGGAGCTGCTGGACTACGGCATCCTTGTCGGCTCCCTATCAGGCGTTTCATGGCGTATTAGCATCTCTTCTTACTAAGATAGTCTAGTTCTCTAGATTCGGAAAGTAATCACGAACCTGCTCGAGTTCGACAATGAACCTCTTAGGCGCGACGGCCGTGTCGTTGGAAGGACGAGCATCTTCGTCGACGGCGCGGCGGGACACTCGAGCTGTTCCCGTGCCGGCCAAGGCCAAGATGGAAATGAGGGCACTCGCGACACGCATAGTCGGTCAGTCAGTAAGAATAACGAATGTAAAGCCTCACACGAAACGATCGTTCAGAAGACCAGTCAGTCCCTGGCTCTTTCTCTTCAGCACCACGACATTACTCGCCGGGTGACGAAGGGCCATTTATTAGAAAGAGAGCCATGAGCGAACAAGCCCGCTCTCGCGTGATACCATAAGAGGACCTCTTGACGATCTCGTATCGACAATGTCGACACCACGACACGCCATGCACTCAGCGTGAAGAAACCCCGGTCTCCCATCCCCTTTCGGCAGTCGTCGCAGCGACATCCCCACCCCCGAGGCGACCTCACCTTGGAAGCCAAGCAATGGCGGTCCACACTTGGCCCTGGGGCCTGGCTGGGCGTCCAACACCCCAAAATCCTACTTTACGTATCATATCCCGTGCCTTGCATCGACCTGCCGTCTTGAGCTTGGTAACCTAAACCTTGACTCTATTCCCACGCATATCTTTAATTTTCGGTATGCACGCTAGCACATGCGCATCTTCGTATTCTGGAAATCCCGGAGGGATAAAGTCAGAAAAAATAACGGGCCGGCCGGCTTCGGAGTTCGGGTGCCTATTATCGCGAGTACCGCGCCTCGAATGCCAAGTTTCCTCGGGTGAGTGGTGCCAGAGTTGCAGCTTGCTTCGGTTTGATCCGTGGAGTATGATGCGATTGATGTTCGCTTGGAGGATGATTCCACCTTCCCCACGGCGGCTCAGCCTGCGTGCCAATGAAGGTCAGATAAGAACTTGGATAGGAATATGTAATGGGCGTACTTACATTTTCTCAACAAGTCGAGGCGATGGTCTTCTATATTCGTCACGGTTCAGTCACAGCAGATACGATGGGAAGAAGAACGAAGTGATTGCAAAGGTATTATTCATGATTCAAGAATAAATGAAAAAGAGCGAGGACATAGCGTGAGTCTAAATCTAAATATTTTCCATGAGCGTTGTTGCCGTCAAAGATTGGTTTTCGCCTCCCAACCTCCCGCCGCTCTCTATATCTCTCAACGAGACCAGAGAACCGCGTATATGTGTTTTGTAAATGATGAATGAGAAATAACATGCAAAGAGACGGAGGCTCTTTTTGTGCCCCTCGTCCCTGTTTTCCCCCTCGGCTATGCGGGCGCTCGCGCGAGAGAGCCAATTCGTAGACCATGAACGAACGCTTTTGTTCAAACGCGATAGTTATGTGTGTGTATATAAAAAGAAGTTATACATCATTATACAACCAAAATAGGCCCCATAAGTCGGAAGTGAACCGGACCCCTGACCCAAAGACCAAACGTGACAAGAGGCGCGGCGCGGCGCGGCGCTTTTGTTTTGCGGCGCAGAGCGCATCGCAGCCCCCGGGTATTTGTGTTTTTTGTTTCGCATCGCAGTAATATTTGCATGATCTCTTTAAGGCTTTGATACCTGCTCCTTTCTGAAGAACTTGAAGAAGAGGATGGGGATCACCAGCTGGAAGCCCAGGCAGATCCAGAACCAGTAACTTGAAACTCCGGGCATCAGGCCCTGGGAGAAATCAGGGAAGGTGGTGTTGGGCGAGAGAGCGTTGGGACTCGTCGCGCGCGCCAGCATCGTGAAGGCACTGCCCACAATTTGAGCGCCGATGAGAACGGCCAACACGTGCTGGCGAGTCAGCGTCGCGAGCAGCATCATACCCAGACCGACACCCTGGATGTTGTCCAAGAGGCCGAGCCACAGCCAAAGGCAGCGAGACAGGATGGCCGAACCAACGGGGCCACCAGCCCAGGGAAGGTACATGCCCATGCTACTGGTACCCCAAAGCATCTGCGCCCAACGAGGAGCGCACAGGCCGATGGCAAAGATTGGCAGAAGCCAAGTGTGGCTCTCGGAGAAGAAGGAGAAGACGTAGAGGATGATGGACCAGAGGACGACGAAGAATCCAAGGGCGAGGAGGACAACACCCCATCCAGGGATGAACTGCGAGGCGAAGAGGAAACCCCAGTTGCGACCGTAAGGCGCCGAGAGCCAGTAGTTCTGGATGATGATCATGATGAAGAATACAGGTACAAGCTTGCGGCGGGCGAGAGAGATGTAGAAGCCGGGAATGTTGTCGGGCGCCTGGCGGTAGTAGTCAGGGAGACCGAAGAACAGGACAATCCCAATGGACCAAAGCATGATGGCGATAGGAATACAGACGACAATACCCTTGGAGATATTGGTACCGTCAAAGAAGGCCAGCGGGGAAGTCTCTGGAGTATGAGTAAGAGATCCCCAGTACCAGAGCATCAGGGAGTAGACCTGAGCAACACCAGCGACGGCCAAGGCACGAGTGATCCATTGCTTCGTGGGAGCACCACCTTCGTCACCAAAGTTGAGTGCGAATGACAGAGCACCAGCGCTGGCGCCAGCTGCATAAATGGCAGTGGCGGCGTCTTGCATAGCAGCGCTGGCTTGCCAAGGAGTCAGGTAAGGCGAAATTCCGAGGAGGGCGAAAGCGAGGCCGAAGAAGACCCAGGGCAGAGACAAGGCGTAAACGGACTTGGTGAAGCGCACCAGGATCCACCACAGGGCTGATGTCACTAGGTACGTAGCGGCGACGATATAGAGTTTCAGAGGCGTTTGGTTGGTGTCGCCCGTGAGCAGGACAATCTGGTATGAGTTGATGGAGATGACTTGAGCGAAGGCGAGGAAGAAGGCGTAGATGGGCCAGTCGCCAATGCGAATGGACAGGATCTTCTTGAGACCGGTAGGCGCATTGTAGTTGTCGCCCAGGAGGAACTCGTCGTCGACAGGGCTATCATCGTAGCGGGACGCTCCGGTGAGTCCGCTAGGGGTGCGACTACGACCGCGCTCATCCACGTCGAACTTGGCACCGAGTCCCTTGCTGGAGCCAGGGCGGCTGCCAGGCGCAGGGCTTCTTGACCTGCTGTGATCTCTACGGCCGAGCTTGGCGTCTCTGTATCTTGCGAACCACTTCTTCTCACTCTTCTTGAGATAGTTTTCGATGCAAAGATCTGTGCCCGAGTTCTTGGCTGTAAGCTTGTTGAGCATCTGTTCGAATTCGGCGTAGAACTCCCCGTTCTTATCAGTGAAGTTCTGGTCCACGTTTTGCAGCTTGAGGTCGTGGCGGTCACCGACTACATCGGGCAGGGAAAGCTGAGAGCTGTTGCGCTGCTGCTTGTAGAAACTCGGCTGGGGCAGGCCAAGGGCGTCGCCAAAGCCGGGAGTCTGAGGAGAGGAGACATCGTTCTGGGCGCGAATCGCGAAGCTGTCTACACTGACCATGCTCTCACGACCGCTGGCAAACATACTGTCGCGGGGCGCAAGCATGCTGTCACGGCCACCAATGGAGCTCGAGAAAGAGCTGCGACGGGAAGAGGAGATCGTCGACCACGGCATGTTGGGGGTCTGGAGGTCGGGAGAGTTGAGGCGGCCTGCGGGGCTAGCGATGCGGCTTGGCGGCGGGAGAGGAGAGGGAGCTCTCGAGCCAGTGGGGGTGAGCTCGGCACCGTACTCGCTGACGGCAATGCTTGATCTCAAGGAAGAGTCGGTGAGGTTGCGAATGCCGCCGGCCTTCTTCTGCTTGGCAGCCTCCTTGTTGTGAACCTTGATAGAGTCATTGTACAGAGTGTCGAGTTGTCTGATCCATTGCGCCACGGGGAAGCGCTGTTTGGCACTCCATGCGCGCATAAGAGCACGCTTTCTAGGCTTGCAAGCAAGAGCTGAAGCAATGGCCTGCTTGAACTGGTGAAGCAAATGCTGGGGACTCATAGACTCAACGGTGAACCAGAAGCCGGGCATCTGGCCCAAGCCACCAACACGGGCACCAACACCCAAGGCACCCTTGCGACCGAACTCGACAGCGACCAGACCAAAGGGCTCGTCACGAGAGGGGATAAGAGCGAATTCAGCACCGCTGAAAATGTAGGGAGGCAGCTGAGTGAACTCAGGCTTGCTGAAAACACGGCCAGGGTACTTCTCCATGAGCTTGGCCAGCTTGAGAGCGGCAAACTTGCCGTACAGGTCGATGACCGGGCCAATAGCAATAAGCTGAACTGAAGGGTACTTCTCAAGGATGCTAGGGAACAGATCGGCAATCAGATCGACACCCTTTTGCAAACTCCATCTGCCGACGAAGACGAAGAGATCCGCGTTGGGGTTCACATCGAGACCGGCCCACTCCTGAGCTTGTCTTCTGAGAGTAGCGCGGTTGGCTTCGAAGGTCTCATCGATCTTGATCTCATCGGTGGAGTTGGCGATATCTTCCTCGGGGTTCCATTCTCCAGTATCAGAAGGATCCGGGTTGGGCAGTTGACCAATGTTCTTCAAACTCCAGAAAATGGGGTAACGGGCCAGAGAACGGTCACCGTACTTCTTGGACACACCGACGGCACCGAAACCGCGCTGGTGAATACGAAGGTAACTGGCGGCGGCGTGCAACAAGTTGAAGGCGGAACCGTACTGGACGTAGTCCTTGACGACCTTGGCGGGAAGGTTGAAGACGCTGTAGACTTCCTTTTGCTCTTCTTCGGTTCTCATGGGCCACATACCCTGGAATTCGGCATTGTGAAGAGACAAGCAGACGGGGATGGTCTGAGGGAGGAGGTAGAGAGGAGCAGCAGCTCCGTGGTAATCGTTGATGTGGTAAATGTCGGCGTTGAAGCGCTTGATGGATTCGGCAATACAGCTGTTCCAGGCACAGTACAGGATGGCACTCTCGAGATCGTCCATACGCGCGATGTAGGGGTCGGCCTTGGTTTGCTGGCGGAAGATGGGAGCATCGAGGAGGACGTACGTGATGTTCTTGTAGACGTGGTAGTTGACCTTGACCTCGAAGGAGTCGCCCATGACTTCAACGAACATCGGTTCGGCTTCGTGGTCCATGGGGTAGTCGACGTCGCCAACGCAAGGGACAACCCAGATCAGGTCCACGTGGGAGAGAGCTTGACTCATAAGCTTGGCCATGACACCAAGACCACCGATCTTGATGCTGATCTTCCAGTCGTCGATGTTGTACTCC